AGTAGCTGGGATTACAGGCACACACCACCATGCCCAGCTAATTTTTTGTATTTTTAGTAGAGACGGGGTTTCACCATGTTGACCAGGATGGTCTCGATCTCTTGACCTCGTGATCCACCCGCCTCGGCCTCCCAAAATGCTGGGATTACAGGCATGAGCCACCGCGCCCGGCCCTTGACCAGACTTTTTAAGCCATTGAGTTACCTAGGGACCTTTATTGAAAAGCAAGTGACCAAACATGTAAGGGTGTATTTCCGATTTATGTCTATCTTTATGCCCATACCATATGTCTTGGTTAATATGGCTTACTGGTAAGACTTGAAATCAGATACTGTAAGTGCTCCAGTTGGGTTCTTCTTTTCTAAAATTGTTTTGCATATTTTAGGTCTTTTAGATTTCTGCAACAATTTCATAGCCAGCTTATGAATTACAACAAAACCCTTTAGAGAGTTTTGAGTAAAAGAATAGCATGAACTGACTTACATTTTAACAAGATTACCCTGGTGGCTGTGACTTGCTCAATATCAAAGTTACTGGATAGACTAACCTTGAATATCCTTTATATAAGAATATCTCAATCCACTGGGTCAAATGAAAAGTAAACAAGCGTCATCTTATTAGCAAGGGTTGTCAAATAAATTTCAACGTACTGTGTCACCTAAAGTATTTTACAGAAAATTTAAGAATATCAGAATGTTAAATACATTTGAACTAGGTCCAGCAGATGAAACTGACTTATGATTGCCTTTGACAAACTATTTAATGCTGAAGGGAGTGTTAACAAGCTGGGAGAACACTTCCCCAAAATAAAAGATGCTGAAGGCTGGGTGTAGTGGTGGACACCTGTACTCCCAGCACCTTCAGAGGCCAAGGCAGGAGGGTCCCTTGAGCCCTGGAATTTGAGGATAGCCTGGGCAACATAGCGAGATCCTGTCTCAATTTACAAAACAACAGCAACAAAAACAAAACTCTGGAAGTTATATGAATGTGTTTCCAGGGTTGCAAGAAGCTGTGAAGTTATCATTTGATTACTAACTAGGTTACTTTGGGCAAATAATTAGACCTGACTTCCATATTTTCCAGGAAAACAGAGATATCGCCATTAACTACCCTATCATAAGACTTGTGAGACTCGAGTGTGATAATGTGTGTAGTGACATTGTCTAGACTCTGGAGTCCCGTGTATAAACCTTGGTCACTAGAACTGCAAAAAATAGATAGGGCTGACTTTGTGGATCTGTTTATATGTCTTCATTTTTTATTGTTTCCTGCTTACGTAATTAAAAAAATGTGTTTAAGCCACTGTTAATGGGATAGCTTCAACATGGTACATATTATTATGAGGAAGACAAAAACTATAGTTAATCCAGGAGATGATAATTTTAGCAAGGAGACAAGTCGCATACATGTAAAATAATGAGATACCAATAATAGTTCATATTTGGAAGGACTTTTCTACTTTGTTTGTTTTGTTTTGTTTGAGACAGGGTCTTGCTGTGTCACCCAGGCTGGAGTACACTGGCACAATCATGGCTCACTGCAGCCTTGACTTTCTGGGCTCACACGATCCTCCCACCTCAGCCTCCAAGTAGCTGGGACTACAGGTGCATGCCAACACACCAGGCTAATGGTTTTGATTTTTTTGTGAAGATCACAATGTTGCCCAGGCTGGTCTCAAACTCCTGGGCTCAAGTAATCCTCCCACAGTGGCCTCCCAAAGTGCCAGGATTACAGGTATGAGTCACTGCACCCGGCTTTGAAAGCACATTTCAATTTGCTGATTTTTCTCACACACTTTATCTCATTTCATTCTTACAAACAACTCTATGTAGTACACAGCACAGATATTTTTTGTTCTAGTTTTACAAATGAGAAGAAACCCTAGGCTTAGGAAGCGCAGAGATTTCTTCAAAATTATAAGGCTCATAAACAGCGGAGTTGGCACCTAAATGCAGATTAATTTCTGACTCCTAGTCCAGAAAAGCTATTTTGATAGTTCTCAAACTTTGATGTGATTAAGGATCATTTAGGGAATTTGTTAAAAATGCAGGTTTCTGAATCTCACAGGCAGCGTTTCTAAATCAGTTGATATGTGTCTAAGAATCTGATCTTTAACAAGTATTTCATATGATTCTCCTTCAGATGGCCTGCAATTTATTCTCCACCAATTTATTTTTCTGGTGCAGAACATAGAAAGCAGAAGCAGAGAACTGCTACCCTTCTATATAACTGGCTTGCAGAATAGAGTGGTGATGAGCACACATTCTGGAGCCAGCTTCCCTGTTTTTAAATCCTGCTTTCATCACTTGCTAAGTGGGCAAATTATATAACCACCCTGTGCCTCGGTTTTCCTGTCTATACAATGGGGATAATACTAGTGCCTACCATAAAGGCCTATGATGAACATGAAATAAGTAATTGTTTTGAAAAGTAACTAGAGCAGTGCCTGGCATACAGCAAGCTTTGTGCTTATGAGAAGGAACCTATAGAAATACGAAGGACCAGGAAGAACATCCCTTCTGAGATGCTGAGGCCTTATTCCTCCCCTTAAACAACCATCTTTCCCTCCCCTCTTACTCACCCTTCCGATCTTGCAGGTATTCAATCACATCACATCCTGGGGAGGCTGACTGTCGCCAGTTATCTCTGCTTGCAAAGGAAATAGAGGGTTCCCAGGGCTCTCCGGCCCTAAGTCGACTTTGTTGCTTTATCCCATTTAAATCCACATTCTCTGCTAAAGAAAATAAACCAACACAGTAAAGCTTGCTGATAGCCACTCCATCTGTATTATGGCACACAATGATGGCTGGAAGTTAAAGCTTTGATATATAGGTCTGTTTTTTTATTGCCAGTCCCTGCCCCTGAAGAAAGTATTAAAATTTCCAGATGAGTAACCAAACAATAAATAGATGAGACAGTTGCCGTGAATATCTGATTTTTTGCATAATAATGAGATATTGCTGGATAATGCACTCTGCCATCCCCAGTTTGTCTAAATTATCATTTTGATTGGTCAAATGCATAAGAAAGATATACCAATAAAGTCGTGTCAAGTGCTCTGCTGTAAATTGATGCCGGATAGAGGTTCTTTAGGGTTGGGGTGAGGTGGGGGCAGGGAGAACAGATTCTTCAGTTAAGTAACTTTAGGTACATGTTTTCTTCAGTTGATTCATAATCAAAGGCATCTGAAATTCTAGCTTCTCCAGGGCTGCATGCATAAACATGAAGTCGTTTGTGCCTTCTAAGGCCTTGTGTGTTGTTTTTGGAATTGAAAATAAGAACCAGATTTGGAACAGAAGGGTTGTTCTAGGACATCTGAGGTTTGTTTTGTGTGGAGGATTTTCCCCTTGATTTTGCATCCCTGAGACATAACATCAGAGAGTTGATGGAACTTTTGAATCAGAAAGACCATTCATTAGGAAACAGGATGTCAGTAAATCCAAATAGCTTTTTCCACCTTTAAAAAAATGGAAGAATTCTACAAGTTCCAAAGTGGGGTGAAAACTAAAATTGCCGGAAGCAGTTTGAC